AGACAAAACGTAAAATGATTAAATCGGAAATTCTACAGCACAAGAGGGAAATGTGACGTTTTGCACCACCCCGGTTGTACATCAATTTTGGCAGCAAAAGAAGGGTTCTGCATGAAAGTTGATTAACATTTTAAATCCAGGCTAACAAAAATCAAAGAAAATCTGGCAGTCATAGTTAAATTTCCAAAATAAACACAAATAAAACACCCGCTCTATGGACCATGGGCAAAAATACTTAATCAATACAACACAATCAAAGAGGGAAAACAAGCCACATTGCTGTGAAATCAAAGCAGAGCAAGACAAAAATACTTCTCATGTGAACAAAGGAATTAAATGTGCCTCGTCATTCCTTTCAGATGACCAGTGTTTGATGGCGTTCCCACCTGATAAATTAATGTTATAAATAAGGTAACGATTCATGAACAATTCATTTGTTCTTCTTTCACAGCAAAATAAGACCAGTGTATGCAAGAATTACCGTACGTCTGCAGCTTATTCTGCTGAGAACAGTTCCAACCATATAGTGGTCAAAAACAAACCAAAAAAAAAAAAAAAAAAAAAACCAACAACAACCAAGGATTGGTTGCGTCACTACACTGTCCAGAGTCCGCTCACATTTCCTGTCAACGGGTTTCTGAAAACGGGGACGTCAAGTCATGACGATCCATCTATAACTATATTGTGGCAACAGGGAAACATAGTGACTATGGCCCCTTGCAGTTTTACATCAGTGGCACAGTAAAATGTTTGGCACCGCTATACTTGTGGCCACTAATAACACATGGTGGCACTTTTATTCATTTCTTTTTTAATTGTGTGGGATGAGATGCTATTGTGCATGTCTACGCATTCCTCATATGATGAAGTACTTTTGATTTAAAAACCCAAATAGAAATGTGGCTTGCAACCTCCCACAGTCAGCCGAATGTCATCAGCTGACAGTAAACACCACAGTTCACAGCTTGAGGGAGCTTTGTACTTCCTTATTTTGTTTAAAGGAGGAAGAGCAGCGAGAGGAACACACGTGGCAGAGCGGAAGTGAGGACCAATCATGAGTGTGGCGCACATCTTCATAAGGATTCCAGTTATAGGCAACCATGACTGTACAGTCATGTTTATCATGCTTGAAATAAGCTCGACAGCAACTCTCTCCCAAATCAGGCCTTCTACTCGACTTTGACAAGGAAGAAACTGCAAAAATGGTGCACGAACCTGGGGTTATTTACCACTCCATCCACAAGGTTCAATAACACAACAAGTTGAGCAGCATGGCTACTTTTCTTCGCATAAGAGTAACTTAGCCTCTTTTCTCACCTTCGGTTTGGACTGAAGCAAACAGACACTAAAAAACAAGTAAAAACTGTAGAGGAAATCCTATGCACACACAGCGAAGAGGCAGATGTTCATTTAACGCACGTCTGTGCCGTAAAGGTCAAATACAAGTGACTGGCAGACCAAAACACAGCAAAGTTTGCAAGTAAAATTTGGCAGTGGCAGAGGAAATACTAATGCCACATTTTGCTAATCCTTATGTTTATGGCATAACAAGAGAAAAACGCTAGCTCAATCATTTGCTTAGTTGCAGTTTAACTAGCATCTCTAGGGTGGAAAAGTCGCAATATTCAATGATGTGGAAAAAGTTAAGGTTGTGGATTCATTATTGCATCTCTCACCAGAGGTGTAGAGCACACGTTTTAAAACCGTGCCATATTTTTTTTTTCTTTTAGCACAAAAGAGGGAAAACTTGTAACACCAGGAGGTTAGATTTTGTCTGTTACAAACATGCACTCGTTTGCTTCATACACAGATTCACTTGGAAGAGGATACAAGTTTGAGGAGGAAGCATGCAACGCTTTGAGTTAGAAAAACCTTTCCCATTTTTACAGGAAAAAGAAAAATCTTGAGTCACCATCGTCTATTTCGACAGAAGCAGGCAGGTCATTTTGGATCCAGTTCTCCATAGCCCAGACACCGCCCATATGCTGTGACCGCCCCCAGTTGTAAAAGTCTCTTTATGGCTTTGCTCTCCTGTGTGAACAATACTATTGCCATTTGATTCGTTGGACAGAATATCGCAAACAAACGATTGAGAGACTCAAAATGGCCAACATACGAGATAAGGAGGAGGAGGCACACCGGGACACAGGACTGCGGGGGGGTCAGAGGTGAAGGTTCACAGGGTCCGGAGTCTGATGTTGGGATCTTTTTATTTCCTGTTAAGTTTTGTGCTCTTGACATTGCGTTTGGAGCCCTCCGTGCAGCTGCGTATGCCAGCAAGGTGCAGCAAGGAACCGGCAGCCTCTTTAAGCTCCTCATCCAGCTCTGGCTTGACCTCCCGTCGCGGCCTTTTGTCAGCAGGCCACATGATGGCGGACGGGCGGCGGCGTGTTTGGTTGGCGCCTCTCTCATCCCAGAGGTCGGAGTCCTCGTCGCTGTGGAAGCCCTCGCTGCCGGCGCGGCGGGACTGCCTGCGGTCGCAGCCTCCTTCATCTAAGGAGGACAGGGAGGACGAAGAAGACCGGGAGGAGCAGCGCTGCAGGGCGACACTGCTGTAGTTGTGGTCCTGCTTTGGATCGCTGCTCACCAGGACTGAGTCGGGTCTGGAGAGGTCCAGTGGACTGTCCGAATTGCCTGCCGAGAGCAGATGAAACAAAGAGTCATGAGTACCGCACTCCTACCTTAGTGAAATGATATACCTTCTACTATACATTGTAATTAGGCCTTTAAGTTGATCAGCTACGGGGAAAGATAATGATCCATTAATAAATTATTTCAGGATTTTTTTCCCCCCATCTACAGTGAAACAACTTCACAATTTCATTTGTTCCAAGAGACTGTTTGAGAAACAAAATAATTGTTCGTTTCTGGGGAGGGGGAGGGGCGGCTGGCTGTCCGGTACCCAGCACACAGGCAGCGTGAGCTCAGTGCATGCTGCCGTAACTGTGAACAGGCCTCCTAAGGGCATAATCACTCGGTCGTTTTTTTTTAATGTTTTGGAACCCAGAAAGAGGGTTACGTCAGAGCAAAAAACAGTAAGATACATATTTGTATGCAAACTATGTGACGTACCGACAAGCGAACAACGCCACTGCTGTAAGAGCAAAAGCACAATTACCGTAAGTGTTAAAGGATCAGAGGATCAGAATGTTTTGAGCTTTATCAATGTTTCAGTTGTATTGAGCAGAATAATGCTGCTTTGGGGAGGGCTGTCACAGTGGTTGTTGTTCAACTTCCCGTAGCTGATCTCATGTCCTTTAGACTGCAAATTAATTGAGATCAAATCAACAGCACCTATGCTGTTGGCAAGTACTGCACTCCATTTTGCCTCACTTACTTCAAGACCTCATTAATCAGCAAACTACAAAAGTCGTCATGATCAATTAATCCACTGCGATGCACAGGCCAAATTCTAACAGTGTAAATAATAATGATAACAATGAATACATTAATACGAATATATTGTGAACACAGACGATGGAGGTGTCCAAATGAATCAGCAGACAAATAAAAAACACTTAAGCAATGGGGTGGAGGGTATGTGAGGAAGATGAACATATGGTTGCTTGTTGGATTCGCTTACATGGGTCAACGTGGTGCCCTGGGGCAGAGTTTAAGAGCATCATGGCAGTGGCAGCATCAATATCAGACTCTGGAAGAGGAGAGAACATGCATGATAGTCAGTCCTAAGGCGCGAGAGCATGGCAGCAGGGCGCTTCTGTCCCTTTAAGATTGCTGAAGCCCTCCACCAAGCAGTAAAGTTTGATATTAGTGCTGCAAAAGTTCTTGCTTGATAATTGATCTGTATGGCGCCGCTATTTAGCACCCTTTATTGCGGTGCCAAGTAAAACAGTTCCCTGCAGTAAGTTGCTGACAACACGACAGTCATTTTTAAAGTCTTCTTTCTTCCAACAGCTGTATGACACAAAGGAAACCACAACATGCTGAACGTCCTCTACCGTTTATCCTGTTTTGCGCATTTAGTTTCTTGTTTGATTAATTTGCAGGTTACACTGTGAGGAATACCATTTACATGGCTGATGAAGCTATCGCCATCCCACCTGCCCACCCTGTGGTGGAATTGCAAGCCATGCCAACGTTTAACAGTTCCTAACACGACTTTGGCAAGATGAGCTCAAGTGTACCACTTGAGGGCTAATTGACCCAAAAATGCCTATGGAATGGATTGGACAAAACAAAGACTCATCAAAACAAAGCAGAGGATAAATTCATGCTTCTGATCGGGAGAATGCATCCGATCTTCTCAGACCTGACAAAGTGTCTAAAAGCCTCATGGCTCACTTCTGGGGCTCTAAATTATTAATGATTACGGCAAGATTGAGTGCTCCACACTCAGCACCAGCGGAACCTCTGCCTGTTGTCAAGGTTACAAATCTAAGAGGCAGAGAGAGTGGGGAGCTTATAGCTGAGGCATCGAATGGACCACATGAGGCATCAATGACGTGAAAGTAATAAATCAAACTAAGAATTGGAGCGGGTGGGGCGAAATGCTGGATGTTCTGTGACTGAAATACACAAAAGCGCCACAACTGCGATATAATCACAAGCACACTACAGCAAAAGCACCAAGCTAAAGCATGTGAGCATACAAAGACCAAGAGCTCTGCCTCACCTTTAAATGAGCAACCTTGCAGAAAGAGATGGCGAGGGGGTGAGGAGGCACTGCAGGAGAGATTAAAGAAATAAAAATCATCATCAGGCTTAAATTTCAAAAGAGTGCTGATAGAACTAGACACCACGAGAACCAATCAAAATGAGACCATAAAAAGCATCTTCAATTTCAACGAACTAAGCCCATTTAACTCAGAAATATGGTCCGGCTTGATGGCTGGAGAACAATTTCTTGCATCGTCACATCCTGTCACAATTTACTGTAGGGAACAATGAAGGGTCACCTGGGCGGGGAGGCGGGTGGTGTACAGAAGGCATGTGCGGCAGGAAAGTGCTGCTTCTTAAGGGCTTGGATCAAGTTGGGGCGGTATTCTGGGTCGACGCACCAGAGAGAACCTTTCCCATTGGCCTGCAATGATAGTAAAACAAGATGAGATTATCAAGAATTATCATCCAACCTTCCTTTATTTTGCTTTGGTTTACCCCGCTGTCTACAGCCAAATGAGTCTTTCCTCAATTGCCTTACCTGGCTAAATAAAGGTGAAATAAATACTTTGTCAATAGAAACCTCGATCCTGGTAATGACAACTAAACGTATTCCTGAGAAACATATCGGTCATGCCATAGTGATCTGCAAGTATACGTATTATGTTAAAGTAATAAAACACAACGTATGACAGAAAATATAATGCAGAAAAAAAAGATGCTATCATTTCAAGTGACGTTAAACCCAACACCGACTTCCTTGCTACCCATGGTTTATTTATCTGGCTTCAAGCGGTCCATGTTATATAGTAGGATGAGTCATATAAAATAAAATGAATTATTTTAAGGTCAAATGTCTCCCGATAGAAATTGCAGCATTATTATTCAATTGGTATTTGTTACACTACCTCATGGAAAATAGAAAAAAAAAAAAAAAAAAAAAAAGACCACACGCATTGATTGCCATGTTTTCACATCATTTCTCCTGGTGAAAGACAATCGATTGAACAAAGTTCCTTCACATGCTGCACACACTGCTCCAATGGAACCGATGAATTTGTCTGTTGGAGATGTGTACGGGAGTGTGTTAACTGTCACATTATCTGATGGTGGTGTATTGTTGCCCAGTTTGAGGGAGCAAGCGAGGGAGGGCGGAGAATAACCTTGACTCACATTACCAGCCTGTCCCTGATGCAGGAAGAAGGAAATGTCACCATGGCAACGGAAACCACCAGCCAGTGTCATGTGAAACCGACGCTGGTCTGTCAGCAGACCAAGTGCTCACACTGTGCACCTGCATGCTGAGCGACTTGCGCTACTCCATGTTGCGACTCGAAGAGTGCGAACCTCCGCCTATCTCCTCCGGTGGTGGAAAAATAACACGTAGCCAGGCACAGTGCTGGCAACATGGGCTCTACCGGTCACAAGTCTAAACTCACACTGAAGCTCAATATGGCAAAAATGGTGTCCTTACTTGGATCGGCAGAAAACCGTTTCTATTACAAACTGGGCCAACACTGGGTATGAGCAAATATTCTACTTGTGAGCATGAACATTGTGTTCCAAGTACAGGTTTAACAATGATACTTATTTTTTATATTAGCAAGATGACATAGAACAACAACAAACTCACAACATACATGTTTCAAAGTGTTTTCTTTTCGGCTAAAGATAACAGTAAGGTAAACCGTTCAGATTCTATCTTGCAATTTAAAGTCATTTAAATAATAACCTTTTTAGATATATCTGTACTACAATTTCAATCATTATAGAGGATCATTATGCCAGTGAATTACAGAAATACATAAAAAAACCACACAAAAAAAATCACTGGATCATTTGTGTTTTTGTTCACCGACTCCACAAACTCAGTTTTTCAAGAGCTTTTTACAAACGGTCTTAAAAACCAACATTGAAGTGTATTTAGATGCTTAAGACATTTTCAATATGAGTAAATACAGAGATAAAATGGGTTTGTATATTTACTTGAACTTCATTAACATTGTTTCATAGTGCCCTTTGATAAATGGTTCCTTAATAAACCCTTTGCGTTAAGATGAAACCGTGGGGAGGACTTTTCCAACCTTCATCAACTCAATTTCTGGGTCTTGAGTCGTATACCCTGCACGTACAACATACTGTGCTTTGTTTGTATTTCCTTTGTAGCTATGAACTGGATGAAATTCCAGTCTTATCGCAGTAGAGGACACTGTATGTACCGCCATTATGTGGCAGACCTACAGATTGTCACATGAGCTAAACTATTTAGGGATTTGCTAAATAAATGATTTTGGCGAATGAAAATTTAAATACAACTTGATGTAACAAAAGCATAGTATAATGTTGCGATAAAATTGGATTGTACTGATCTGTAAGTGTGTCAAATGTGAAAGCAACTTGGTGACATACCTTTCCTAAACTCCTTTCGACCTTGCGGAAGCATTTATTCAGGGAGAGATTGTGACGCACCGAGTTCTTCCATCCAGTGGGAGCATTGGAGAAGTAAGGGAAGTGCTCAAGAATCCAGCCGTAGATTTCTTTGACGGGTAGAGATTTACTCGGAGATTGCTCGATGGCCATGTAGATGAGGAGTGAAAACGAAAAAGGGGGCTTGGACTTCAATGAGTCCCGCTCTCGACCCCTACTGTGAGTTGAGGCTGTGGACGAGGACGAAGTTCCTTGGTTGGATCCATAGTCTCCTTCAATGTCAAAGAGCGGGCTGCCGCTGGGTTGAGCTTCAGGACCTCCCAATGTAAAGTTCTGAAGCAGGTTCTCGTGAAGCCAGTTGAGGTTGGTGAGTTCTTCATCTTCAGCACCTCCAGTCCGATCCACGCTGGTCGCAAGGGGACTGGATGCGCACTCCGCCTCGGGCAGTGTTCCAACTCCACAAACACCTCGAAGCCATGTCCGCTCCTCTTGCATACCCGGAATTTCCGTTTTCTTGTCTGGTGACATCCCAATAATTGGACCCATTAAATCAAAGAGGTCTGTGGAAAAAGAGGAGACATAGCAATTAGGTTATATGTGATCAGTCAGAAATATGTTTTTTAAAGTTGCCATTATGGCAGCATTGTTTGCAACTTGCAATACTGGGCACACAGGGGTCTTGCCTTTGTTTTCTCAATCTTTCCTTCGAGCTAAGCATACTGTGGTCTTTCTTTTCCACCTCAACTGGACTTCCCAGGCCTTTGCCCCTCTCCTCCATGCCTTGCAAGGATGGAGAGCCTCTTAGATCTCCACCCCTTGACTTTAGCCAAGGACTCTCAATGAGATCCTCTCAAGCAACTGAGCGGACTTAAGGGCCCACTCGTTGACGCCCACATCGTTTCAGGCAAGACCCGGTTGCTCGTTAAGTGTAAATGAGAACGAAACCCGCCAATGACTGCTGGAATCAAGCGACTGCCTACATCTTACAGCGGAAGGTTCTTTATAGACATTATGCATCCACATGTTGCATCAATCCAGTCCCAATTTATTACCTTCAGGATTATGAAAGTACGGTCAGTGCGTGATCGTTGCGCTGCATGTGTCAAAACAGCTGAGTAGAAAGCAATAGGTGTGTTTCGTTATTTTCTTTTTTTTTAAATTGCCCATAGATACAGGGAAGACTTGAATGATAATCTGAAATTTGGCCTGCACTGAACATTTCTTTCTTACTGTGCCCTACATGATGATGAACATCTACTGTTTGTTTGAATGCATTCTCCCAACAAATACAAGTAAGCACATTGTACACTGTTGAGGCCAAGTGTACAAAGAGATTACTCTTTGGCTCAGTTCACAATAAGCTTTAAGTCTTGGGTGTCACCATGACAACCCCACCATCGTTTCAATTATGAGCAGAAACCTCACAAACGAGAGTTGGAAAATGAGTAATCCATGTTGGCTCTCTCCAAAATAATACTCACATAGCGGTACAGAAAATGCCGCAGCACCTGAGTGTGGGCACCAGATGCCTCTGAATGTGGTGATGGGTGATGCACCGAATGTGGACCAACATGGCCATGTAAGGGGACATATAATCTGTCAGATAGGCGTATCTTTTCATTTATGTGACAAGACAAGAATTGGGTCAGACTAAAGAGTGCTTACCCAGAGAACGAGAGGGAGTGGAGGCACGCACATGCATGAACATAGAGACAGACACACAAATCACTTTGTCAAAATCGGCCAGTGACAACAGGAATGAATGGAGAACGGCATTAGCACATTTACTAAATTACCATTTAACCCTCAGTGGGTGTGGAGGAAGATACAGTAGACAACCCCAATTTTCTTTTGGGTGAGTCACGGGTTATTCCGGTTTTCAGAGTGCTTGCAGTGGATTTGATACCTCTGGCAAGGAGGTTATTGTTTCACCACCGTGGGATTGATCAATTGAATCTGGGCAAATTGCTGTTTACGGCTGATGATCCATCAACCTGTATTATTTATAAAGATGGGGAGGTAGTACACTGCCAAGGATGCTCTCATTTAGTTTTGATGACAATACATCACTTGATGATCCCATCATTTGTTGATTTTTTGGGGGATGTATGAACTAAAAATAATGAATGAAAAATACAATTCTTATACTATCGAACATTGGGTTATGAATTTAATTCGTTCAGTCACTCAGTTTGCAATCTGAAACGTTTATAAATCGAGGTACTGTTTTCCATTGAAATGATAGAAAATGCAATTAATCTGTTCCAATTTTGCCTTATCTTTATGGAGGTATGATTAAAATAATACTGCGGAATACAGAAATAAGTGAAAATGTCACATTTTTTTTCAAGGAAATCACACAAATCGCTGTGCAATGTCTTCGCCTTGAAGCATTTTTGTACAGAAGATGTGGTTACAGCAAGCCCATACAGATAGTCGAAAAATGTGTATTGCGCTTGATACACCGAAAGGCGCATAGCATAGGTACAAAGTAAACAATAATATACTTAAGCTTCACAGCGAGGCAGTGCAATCTCTCTGCTCTGCAGAAGCTAGTGATGGCTAGCTAGGTAAGGGTCACAAACCAGAGTGATTGCCCAGAATCCACCTTCGGATGTATAAAATCACACGGTGTGATGGGTTGAAGATGACGGACGGCTATGCATCTAGCAAATGAGTGTATAAGGTATTCGACAAAAAATGTTAGGGAAAATAAAATAAGGAACATTAACAACAAAATTAACTTTTTTTTAAACAAAATCAACTTTTTTTTCCCCCAAATAAAATTTCAAATGAGGGGAGAACCTATTCCCGGCTGTAGTGAGCAGATTAAAGCTGCTCAGAGCAGAGCCATTGCATGAACGTACCTCAACATGACTGAGCTGATATGATGTTTAAAATTTTTTTCCCCGCGCCCTCCAATTGCTTGAAGCCTCGATTAATCAATAATCATTTCCACAGAATGTCAGTGTAATATAATGTGAATTTTTTTCCAATTTGTTTTCTTCTTCAGCACAGAGTGAATCACAACTCTTACAAAACTTGAGCAACAAGATACAGTCTGTGACACAACAAGGCAGGTCACGAGGCCATGAGAATTATCCATTTGAGAAATCAGAAAATCTCTACTCCAAAACAAGAAAGCAGACATCTTGACTTGACAGGTTTCTACTCTGAATGAATTCTCAAATATAGACTGCGACAAGCATTTAAAGACAATGAGGAAAATAACATTCACTCTTCCAAACAACACTTCTGACTAAAAGTAGCTGAGTTTCTAGGCTGCATGGCCCTCACATTATTAACTCAAGTAATGAGGCTGCGGCCCGGGGATACATGTAGAAATCTCAGAATAGACTCTAAAATGAAAGGAACTGGACCTAGAAAAAGTTGGTAACTGCTTGCTCATCAAGAGTTATGTCCTGATTGAGACTGCTCCTTCCAGTCTAATCATGTCATGATTGTGTTACCCAAAACATTCCACTGACAAGACATTAAGGTGACAGCCAACCAAAATAGCACGGGCGTGGCACACAAATTGTGACTGCATTTTGTCAACATTTGTTTCACTTAAGCCTGAAGTCATTTTGTCTTCATTTTATTCAAAATGTGCCACAGACAACAAGGCTCTTTACACGTTCCCGTTTTTGTTTCTTGGAGAAGAAAATAATTCATGGCCTGGCAAAATAGTCAGAACACGAATTAAACCTAAAGCACAAGAGTGCGACACCACCTCACGTCTTAGTTTTGACCTCCCAGCTGCCTGAGAATGACTGGTGGCTCCATGAGGACTGACATTTGAATATCAAAAGAATCCAGGTAAATGGATGGTAGTCTGCATCTAGCCAAACACGGGGAAATATTTTACCACGATTGCATCTGGTCAATTACCCCTGCATTTGGAATGATTACACTTCACTCTTATCAAAACACTTTCAGAGGAAGGGAAAAAAAATCCAATGATTAATCGTATTAAGAGTGGAGCCAATGAGATGGATCTGCCTGTTGATTGCAGCTCATTGTTGAAAACACACCAAAGCTGGAATGGTTCTGACCTGATGGCTCATCTGCAAGTTAAAATAGCCCTGCGTGCCATGAGCAGCATCATATTCATGTGCAAACAGGCAGGGCCAAACAGCAGGTGCCAAGGCAAATTTTCCCCCTTTTCATACTGATCTTTTATACTGTTAAGCACTTAGGCTATTCAAAATTGACACAAAGACATACAGCTGGCTTTAAGTGGCAGATCAAGCCATTGATGTGTCACACAGGTACATCAGAATGTAATCAGGCGACCGCGGCCGCGTCAGCGATGATCTCAGGCAGCGAATCTGACTTTCAGGAATCAGTTGCCACGGCAGCCAGTGTGGCGAGGGAAGCGGTTGGACTTATGTCTGTGCATGAACAGAGAGCTGATGTGGGGGAGATCAATACAGGCGGAAACTGCTGAGGCCAGCAGTCTAGTGCTGTTCTCCACAAAACCTGTCTGACAAAGAGGGCCGGGAAAGGAGGTAGCCAACCTGGATCACATGGTTCTATGACTAAGTTGCTATGAGTGCATACTTGGCTTAAAGTTGCTCATTATATGCAACATAGGATTTGGGGGAAATACATAATTTCGGAACAGAGGGTTGAGTTTAGACACAGTTGAACCGCACCCTGCTCAAAGCCACTAACTAAACCAGTCGACACAAACCAGTTACACCTCTTGGTACACAAAGGTGTGTTGCAAAACCCCAATGGCTGTTATTTGAAACCCTGTGTGATGTTTCTGACTGTCCAACGAATCAAACCTAAATTAGACAAGGGGAAATAAGTGAGCTGGTACACAAGTAACGTTGCTCAATGTGGATTAAAACAATTAAAGGCCGGGATACTCTTGCAGCACATCTTATAAAGTATTGATTTTTTTTAATGTGGATTACTGAGTGATGATCGTACGAGTGAAAAAAAAAAGCTTGCACACAGTAGCAATCAAACTCACACACAAAGAAGCAGTTGTTTTGTCTTCAACCCCCCCCCCCCGCCCCCCATCGTGTTTCTAATCTTTCAGTATTCACCTCGCAGTAACAGACGACCAGGAGGGAAGGAAACACCTCCTGCCTGTTGAGGAAGTCCATTTTCAGAGAGCACTCACAGTTGGGCCAGCTCTACACCAAAAGAGTGAACTAGCGCAACAAGAGGCCAAACGTTTACACAATGCTAGCAAACACCCAAGCCTGTAAATGACACACAAGCAAATAAAAGTAACACAGGAAAGATTGAGGTGGGCCCAGGCACTGACTTTATAGTCTCAAACTGCACTCTGACTCTAATCAGAGGTTAGTTTTCCAAAGTACAGACCTGCCTCCCAGCAAACATTGAAACCTTATCTTGAGGGTCATGCACCCGTCTGGTCTAGAAACCCTCCTCCACCCACAATCTCATATATTTCCAAATACCCTAAACAGCAGGCTTTGCCATACTATTTTCTTTTGGGCTGTTGACAGCTGATGTCCATATCCATCGAAAAATTTTAACAACCGTGTTTACTATCTATGTTTGCAGCACGTTTGCATATTTTGGTTTGAAGAACGAGAGCATCAAGGTTAGTCAATATCAATCATTGCAAACTTTATTGACCACGCACACCGAAATTTCCCACGAACAAAATAAGAGATTTTTTTTAGGCTCAAATTTTGCGCAATTGTCAACTTGAAGACAATTGGCATTGGGTTGCTTGTCCGATGAAAATAAGAACCGTTGATGCCGCAGTGAAGTGCATAATCTTGTCTTGAGCGCCATTTACCTCTGTCAAAACCAGTTGTAAGCAAATCAAAACAACGCATTGTTAAATCTGATACGCATCACAAATATTTACAAATGATGGGGTTTTTTTCTTACCATTGATAACATTTAACCAGCTGCAGTTTTGGTTTTTATTTTTCTAACACCCACTTCATCTCTAGAAGTGCTTGAAGTAGCACAATACTTGCACAAAAGCTACCCAGTGCTGCCTGGTTAGAGTCGCAGCGCTGTCAATTAAATGAACCCTGTTAATTATATCAGGGGTGATGAGACAAAGACCCATTGTTTCCCCTCTTCCCTACTACTCGGTTAAGAAAGCGGCCACATTGCTGCTGTCAGTGACGTGCGTCCTAATCAGCAGCATCTTGCATCCACCAGTCAGGAAGAAGCGAGGGTGGAGGTGCTACTCACAATCAAGTTCGATGTGCATAACTGAAGTGAGCAATGTGTCTAAGTATGACTTGTAAAGAATTTAAAGAATTGACAGTTTTCTCCATGTTGGCTCTTGTCTAACACCAAAGTCAGCTCGCAAAGAGTCTTACAGAGAGGAGGATGTTGAATGATCCAAGAAAGATGTGACTGGTCAATTTAACATTACAGCATTAAATGTAATCCCTTTGTCAATTAGGACACATCATAGTTAGCTAGAATGTTGCTTCTATAATGGAATGTCAAACATAATTACAGGGTAGACATGTATCTATTGTTTTCATACAGAATCATATTTGGTAATCAATGACTTCTTTTGAGGAGCAATCTTGTCATTTTAAGGAGCAATTTATTGCAAGTTAATCCCCGGGGCCTGAAGCAAGGGTTTTGTTTAAAAAACGAATATGACATAACGGGCGAGTTGCAGGGCTACAAGTACTCAGTATTTTAGTATTCGACTGACAATTCTATTGAATAATCATATATTTCTTTCAAATTAGAGCTATTGTTGTTTAATATTTTTAGAATTGATCATTCCATTTATTACATCAATAAATGGAGTGATCAGATATAATTTTAGTTTGCATGAAATGAAGCATTTGTTGCTCTCAATTACAGTTTATTAAACAATTGTTGTTCACTTGGCATTGTTTCATGATGAAACAATAATGAAGCAATATCACACGAGAGGGATTGATGTTGTAACTTGTCACCCTTTTTGAAGTGTATTCAGTTACTGGTTCGGTTGTTGTTTTCTAAAAGTAATTAATTCATTAATTTATTTATTTATGAACAAAAAACCATCATGTCAACATCAAAGACAGCCAAGCCACGGACTCTGTTATTGGGACGTGGAAGGGAACGATAGGCATGAAGTGAACGGAAACTTG